TGTAAGTCCAGCTGCCCTTTGAGCTCCTCTCAGCCTGCTCCATGCACGCCCTGGGACATTAGGTTTTCTTGTCTCCTCTGGTGTCCAGGTGCCTGAAGCCATGCATCACTGCTCTCGCTGAGTCAGCAGAGAGCAGGTAACTCCCTCCCAGCATCTGCTGGGAGAAGGGTCCATTTAAGCTCAGAACAGTAGTCTTCAGAGTATCTGCAAACAGAAGCAAACTATTGAGTTTGTTGCTCTAATTAGCCTGAAATGTCCACAGTAACATCCTGAACCTACACAGTGAATATAATTGAATATCTGCTGGCATCAACACTCATATTCCCTCTGGAATGATGTCGTCAGCTGTGATCAAGATGTGAGATCTTGGTCTGTAGCCCTGGACTGAAACTGTCTAAATCAGTAGCTTGCAGGCCATGGTCTGCAGAACCTCAGTTGTCCATGAAAGTCTTCCAAGAATTAAATAGGATGGGAGAGGAGTGCATCTCTTTGGAAATGGCTGGGGAAAATGGACCAAGTGAGACTTGCCTTTCTAAGCAAAGCAGTGGAAGACTAATTCCACAAGACACTGTGGGGCATCATGCTAAATAGGTTGGTGATGAGCACGCATGAGATCCGACAGACCCAGCCCTAAAGGAGCTGCTATTTGGATCATTTTGTTTGCTTGGTTGGAATATTCTTTTTGAATAAGCAGCAATATATTCTCTGCCATCCTGGATGCGTGCCAGTAAAAGTCCTAAACCTTTCTTGCTAGCATCTGTATATAATATAAAGGGTCACTTATAATCTCTGTAAGCCATGATGGGGCCTTTCATCACTTTGTCTGAAGTCTGCTTGCATTCTGGAGACTGTTCTTGCTGACTTTTGGCTTGCAAAGAGAAATCCTGGGGTGGTTTTGTCTGTCTCTGTCGTAGTCACTGTGCTATTATCTGAACACTGAGTCCCAAGCTATATATCCTAACGCATCTTATGATCAGCTATGTTCCTGTCTTTCTGTCTTGCCTGCTTCTATGCCACAGTAAAAAACCAAACACCTAAAAATTGCATTTGCAGGAAAATTATGCTATTTATGGGAACCCAAGAGTGTGATGTCTTGCAAATGGGAATGTACCTTTCACTCCTGGGTGGGTACCTTTGTAACCAAACTCTTCCTTCTGTTGGTGAAGAGAGAAGTTAGAGAAATCTGTGTTCATGTTGGATTATCTGAGTATCTTTGGGGTCTGACTTTTTTTATTGTTTTTTTCCCCCCTCATGTTCCACGCTGTGGTAGTTCTGCTTTAGAGAAGACTCACAGTGCTGAGGTGACAAGTGTTGTACTTACCGTTGTCACTGCACTCTAGGTGCTCCTGCTGAGGAAGGTGGAAGGTTGTCCCTAGATTTCAGCAAAGGATCTGTTACTTTGCCATGGGCTATCAGTCCTGTTCAGCCTGGCAAACCCAGGTGGTGGCTTCAGGCTAGGAAAGCAATGAATGGAGAGTCTTGGGGAAGCTTCTTGCTTCCTGTAATGATTGCTTCCTTTTATGACAGGTCCCTGAGCAGGTCATCTGAAGAAATGAACCTCGGAAAGTGTTGGGTTTCTCCCCCCACCAACGTGCAGGCTTCTGTCCTGTGCACTGTAGTGTGGGAGCAGCCTTTATCTGCAACCGCTGCCTAAGGCTCTGTCACTGGATTGTAACAGGGTCTGTACAGCACGTCTCGCTTCCAAGAAAGGCTTTTCCAAGGCAGAAGTGACAACTTGACTGCCAAATTCCTTGGGCTTGCGAGAGGATATGTATACATGAACAGCTTATTCCAAGGACCAGGTAGAGCAAAGGTGTGAGACACCTACTCAGGCAACAGCAGTTTTGGATTGTTTGGAAAGAAAATCTGTGTGCGTGCCAGCAGCACCCACTAAATGAAAGCCCTGACAAAACCAGCTTTGTAGGTAGCTTAAAATAATCAACCTTTCTTGCAGTTTTTGACATAGGCAGCCTGCACAGTGCCACCTGTTTAGCTCCAGATCCACGAATGTAGTGCTAGACTCCCAAGCTGGTTGAAAATAATCCTTGAAGGAGCAAGATGATGTTAAATCTGGGTCTATGCAAGGGAAAGCTAAAGAGACTAACGGTTAGTTTCCAATTTCTCCTTAGGAGTTGCAATTTGGAGCTGCCATTATACATTAACCAGAGCAGATAGGCTGCCAGATTCCTTCTGGCAATTGTGGAGTCTGCCTCCAACGCCTGCCTTTCTCTTCTGCATTGTGCTGGGGTGTGCAGTGGTGTTCATCTTTGTTCACCTTCCCACCTCATTTGCCTTCAGGAATATGAAGCTCTCTAGTTTCAGCATCAGATATCAAGAGTTTTGCTCAGTGTGGTTGAATTTCTTTATCTGACACAGAAGTGCTTTGTGTGTACTCAAGAAGGTGGGACAGGTTGTCTCGGAAGCCCACCAAAATCCGTATTAGAGTGAAATAATCAGTGTAGGATAATCCAGCTCACACCATGGAAACAGTACTTCTTCCCAGATGACTCTGTGATGGGAGAAGGCCAGAGGGATGCGCATACAAGCTACATAACAGTTAAAGCATAGCATGTGTAAATAAATATTTGATTTATTTGGATTTCATTGACAAGCCAGAAAAATGGTCTTAATGTGAGGGGAGGCACTCGAGTCCTTGATAATTATGCTCTGTTTTAAAACATTCAGTAACTTTATTCTGAATTTGTTAGTATTTATGTCCCTTCATGCTCTGTTACATGTTGCTAGTGTGCATACTACTGCTTTATTCCTCTCCTGTGGTGGGACCAATTCCTTTCCTCACCGCGTGTTAATGAGAAGTTTTGTTTTTCATAACTTTAGGATATATGCTTCTGCCATTTTCCTGTCAGGTTCTGTATACGTGCAGTTTGTTTTGCCTGACATGAAATGCTTTTGCCCTGAAGTTTGCGCAGAAGCGCTGTCCTTTCCGATGGCTGTGGGCACTGTGCTAAAAACATGCTCAAGGTAAAACATACAGAGCTGTGGTTTCCCCAGCCCCTCTCGTACTCACCCTTTCTTCTGGTTGCTTTTCCTTCCATGCTCAACTGGCTGTTCCCATGGCATGAGGAGATCTTTTCCAGCAATACCCATCTGAACAAACTCCATGACTAAGGCTTGGAGAGACGAAATGGCTGATTGCACCATGAGTGCATGTGAAAGTAAAAAGAAAACTTTACTCTGAATTATCACATTTCCAGTCTCTAGCTCCTGTCTTTTGTTTCTTCTGATTTTGCTCCCTAAACTTTGCGCAGAAGTTGTGTTGAGCCTGTTAAAGAATCTGCTGTCATCATGTGATCTGAAGCTTCATTAATCTTATCTTTTTCCCTCATTTTGCCCTTTGGTTCTATGATGTAGATGTCAGTTGAGACATTTGGGTACTAGGGTATCTGATCTGTATATATACACCACAGATCCTCAATAAATCTGAGAAGTGGTTCTCAAGACCCTCCCTGCCAGCCTGGGGTCACCTGAGATGTGACTGTAGTCCATGTTTCCTGATGAAGAATTGCAAGCAGGTTTACAGTGAGCAGGAGGAGTGTCTGCAGGGAAAGCAGCATGGCTCTGCCTTGACGCAGCTGACGGGCTCGATGGCACTGGGTAGAAAGCCACCCTCTCTCTGGGTGCCCCAGCTCACCCGTCTGGCTGTAGCTGAAGGTCTGGTGGGCAGCCTGCTGGCCCCAGCTTGTCCATTGTGGTCTGCAGTGTTCAGCTCAGCCGCTGGCATGCGTACCTCCTATTCATGGAAATGAGAGTTATCCAGAGAGCAGGGAGCCTCCTGTGGAGATAGGAGGGGAACCCAAAAAGGAAACAAAATGCAACAAATGCTGTAAATGGCAAATACTAGAAAAATTGAACTGCCATGGGGAAGGTGGGTTAGGGAAGGAGGGGAGGGGATGTGCAGGTGCCTGTTTCCACTGTGCAGTTTGATTTTTCGTTTGCAAGGTTGGGGAGCTGCTGCGGTACTTGGAGAAGGGATCATCTGGGGGCTCTTACTTTAAGATGGATGAGGAGCAGGACTCTTCTGCATGTGCAGGAAATGCTTACACAAGCACTTTGTGTGTTTTGGAGCACAAGCTGGTGTCTCCGCTTCCCATTAGTGACCCCAGTTCTGATCCGCAATCAGTAGGAAAGTGGCTCTCAAACCTGTTAACTACACTGAGGTACAAAAGCAAAAACGTGAACCAGTATTTGGCAAATATGAATGATGCTTGCAAGGGAGAAATGAAAATATCCTTTCCCCCCTGTGCCCCGAGCATGACACTTGGAACCTAAAACCATATTTTTCAGAGACAGTGGAAAGGGTCTATGGGTCCTGATTCCCAGGGCTGACACTGCAGTTCCTGCCTTCTCCTGACCATAAGGCATATGAGGTCTCTCTCACTCTTGTTTTCTTATGAGACAGCATAAGGCACTAGTCCCTCCCTCCCCTGCATTTTCTCTTGCCCGTTTTTAGACTGTAACCTCACCAGGACAGCAATATGATTTGTTTGGCACCAAGCTTGTTCGAGCCCTGCTGACAATGAGCTCCACCACACCAAAAAGCAGAATTTTCCAACTCGAATGTTGTTCAGAATGGTAGGAGGCTGGGGAACGATACCATAATGAGCAGGATGAAATTAAGACCAGTACAATGGGAACTGACTATCGGGAGATTTGGAACACTTTTTTTTTTTTTCTGAAGTCCTATTGTTTATGATAACTAACAGAACTAAATTATGTACTATAAAACTCTGGCCTCTGAGGACCAAGCAAGAGGCGTTACTGGATCTCTTGTGGTTCAGGTTGGCAGAAGCAGGGAATCTTTCTGCAGCTATTGGGAGGAGAGGGTGGGGTGAGAAATGAAGACTGCAAGTTAGGCTAGCTATGGCTGGCAGCAGAAGCAACCCCACCCCCAGATACTTGGTTGTTTTTTACTGCAGTCTGATATATGTTGCTTCAGCTTGCTGTCTTACTGGGGCTAACAGTGTCCTTTCTCTCTGCAGGCATTGGTGTCACTATACGGTTACACGGACTGTTTCCTGCCAAGTGCAGAATGGATCAGAAACGGTGATCCAGCGAGTTTATCAGAGCTGCCGGTGGCCAGGACCTTGTGCCAACTTAGTGAGGTAAAAATCTTCATGTCTCGTGTTGCCCAAATTTTCCTGCACTTCTCATTAAATTGATTAGCTTTTAAGTACTGCATAGAGGGTTGAGATCAATGGGTCAGATGCTGATATCCAGCTTCATGGTGGTGTAACTAAAGAACGCCACTGGTGTTAGCTGCAGAGTGCTTATACATGAAGGTAAGTTTTTGTATTAGGGACAAGCTATGTGAAACAGCTTAGCTTAGGTTGTAATGCCAGTTTGTACTTCTCGGCACAGGAGGCTGCTGCTAGTCAGGCATGAAGCTAAATAAATGTAAAGTCCAACAGAGCGCTGCGTGACTGAACAGGGTTAGCAGGGATGCTGGACCAATGGCACTATGTGGCTTGTTGGTATGGAGTCCTCATACTTGGGTCTTTAAGGGTAATATTGATCACATACACTGGAAAGCTTTGATCAAATTCCTTGCAGCTGGTGATGGACAAAGGTAATGTGCCCAGAGTGGAATTTCCTTACGGCACCTCTTACTCCTGCATCTCAGTATCCTTTAGAGACATGCATGAAAGCACAATGCCCCCTCCCCACATGAGAAACAAAGCTTAGAGACACTGACTTGCCAAAAACTTGCCCTGAGTCTGCTGTTAGCTTGCTTTCCCTTTCAACTATTTATGGTCTTGGGACCCACCTACATGTAAGAAGAAAAAAAGAAGTGTGAAATAGCTATCCCCCGGCTACCATCTTTCAGTATGCAAAGTGTCTGTATTGTTGAGCTTTGCCTTCTCTGAAAGACATTCTCAGAGCAAAATAGTGTTACCCACCCATCTGGGAATTGGTGCAAAAAAGCCATTATGCTCTAAATTTACACCTAGCTTCTATAACAATTTCCCATGTAGACAAGCCCATAATTTAGCTCACAAAGCTTAGTCATTTTATTGCTATTGTTACTAATTCACTCACAGGGCACTGATTGAGGTCCTCTTGTAGTTGATAACCTAGCCAGAATACCGTTGAAATACCCACTTAAAAACCCAGAGATCCACCTTCCCAATCTGTTCTTGCAACTCTTCATCTGGAATTCACATTTTCCATGTGGCAGTTACCACAGTTGGTTCTCCAGTTTCTACTTGGCCACTGGTCAGTCTTAAGTTTTTTCACTTGTAATATATCTGCTTTGGTGTCTCTTTGGTCTTGTTTTATGCAAGACTGTGGTTGAAACACTTAATATTTTACACTGTCATGGCCAAACTTCTGTTGAAACTTTTTAATTTCCCAGACTTCTTACACACATAATTGTCGTTAGAAACTTGTGAGCTTTCACCTTGTCTCTTAAACTTGCCAAAATCTTGCTTATTTTTCCTTGTTAACATAACTGTAGTTTCATAAGAACCAAACAATTGATCATGTTACCGGTAAAAATCCTTTTTGTGGGCTCCTGCAGTTACTCATATACATTGATTCTTACATTGTTAACCCAGAGACTTTAGGAGTAGTGTGTGCTGTTGTGACATTGTTATTCATGGAACATTTTCAGTTTCAAATGTAGTTTGGTTCATTTGTCTGACAAGTCCAATTGTTTGGAGACAATGCAGAATGGCAGCAAACATCTCAATTTTTCTTTCTATGTGAAAATATCGTGGAAAGAAGCTGGGGCTATTGATATTTAAGATCTCAGGTGGTGAAAGCTCAGCAGACAGGAGCTACATTTCTGGAAGACAATCACCATGAAGAAACCTACCAGAAGAGAATGGGAGGACACTAATGCTCTGTTCGCTTTGCAAGTGGGAGGAAATGCAAGCAAAGTGAATGGCACCCTTCCAAAGAAATGACTATGCTGTCTGTCCTCTAATCATGCATCATATGACTTTCTTGCATGATGTAGAGAAAGACCCTGGACCTCTTTTTCCCAAGGACCTCCAGAAAGCTGCTGACAAATCCTGGCGCCCGCCCAGTTAGCAACAAAGGTAAAGCAGGAGCGGCATGTGCTGGTTCCTGATTGTTTCCTGTACTGCCACTGTACAAAAGGGAGACCCCCAAGAACAAGTAGCAATGAAGTTGAAGCCACTGAGATCCTGAGAGTTGAGTGGGTTGTTGGATAAGTTATCCCTACCCCAGACACCTTTTATAAGTGGTTGCTTGTTTTTGGCAGTGCATCTGACTTCTGATAACAGAATGCAAAACAGACGCTGAAAATGATGGATCTTGTGACATCTAACTACTGTGGGTAACATTTGGTAACCCTGAGTCATGTTGTATGGTTGAGGTCTTATTTCCTGGGCCTACGCGGCAGCCTATCAATGTTACGTTGCCAGCACCTAGGGATGTGTGAGTAACGGGCTTTCTTTTGTCTCGGAGTCAAGCCGAGGTTTTAAATTTTTCTTAAAAATTATGGTTTTTTTCCCCCTCTTTCACCAAAATGAATATTGTCTCTTTAGGAAACGCCATTCTCTCTCCTAATTCAGGTGAATCCCATCTCCTGTTTTCAGATGAAAACTCCCAAGGATAGCAATGAGACAGACAGTCCTGAATGTCACAGGGCAGTTGAGTCCCTCTTATATTCAGCACTGCACTTGCTAGTGCAGTTCCTTGCAAGTTATACTTGTTTTCCTTATTTTTCTGCTAAGAAACTGGCTTTGAAGGGACTTGTAAGCTTATACCAGCCACTGTGCTGCACAACTTCCTTCAACAGGTCTCTGAAAATTTCTACAGAAGATGAACAGAGCAGAAAACTCAACTCAGGCGCCCTACTCTTTTATTTCCTTCCCCCACCCTTCCCCTAACTAGTGGTTTGAGACTGATTCTGTACCTACTTTTTGAAAACAAAAAATCCCAACCCAAACCCCAAAAGTTATCTTAGCATGTCTGAAAGCTTTGGGTGACACTGCTGTCTGCCTGGGAGCTGTCCTGGTTTTCTTGGGAATCTGTTTCTTCTTGTGATGAGCACGCTGTCTGTGGTGCAGGGCAAAGGCAACTGCTCTGTGGTTAGGGTAAATGTTACCTTTTTTTGTGTTTCAAACTAACTTCTCCCCAAAAGAGGATGATGAATGTGGCATGGTAGAACATGAGCCCCTGGGATTGCCGTTTTGTCACCATGGCTCTCGCTAACAGCGAAGGACACCTCTACCCATGTTTCATCTAATCCTGCTACTGCAGGATTGAAGCCCAGAAATGCTTCAAGCCCTGATACCTTGCGAGGTCAAGGTATTCATCTCTCAGGGGGACATCCTAAGTAAAGATATCTTCAGCAGATGCCTTCAACAGGGAAAAGCAGTGTGACTAGTATTGAATCTGATAGTGTCCTGTCCCAACACTTCACAAAACACAGGAGAGGGCTTATGTTAGCTTCATGGAAGGGGAAGCAAAGAATCTCTTGTGTCACTGAACGCCTTCTCTAGGTCACCAGCCCTTGAGTGTGTTCCTGTAGTATGAAGGAGCTTCTCTATTTTGTCTACAGTCCTTAATGATTGCCTGCTTGACTGTATCTGCTCTACATGACAGGTCCAGCAAGAATGCTTCACAGGGCCAATGCTTCATTCCCACCAAACAACGTTGTTTCTGTTTCCTCCTTACCTTCTCTGTACCAGCACCTCTGTCTCTTCAGGTTTTCTGGAAGTCTAGCTTCTGGTGACGTCAGGCTTACTTATTCAGGCCAGGTCTTATTCTTCTCTAGTGAGATTTCTGGTGCCTGAGCTTGAAGGGGGGGCCACAGCCAGATTCATACGGTGTTACTCTTGACTGTAAGCAATACCAAATGTCAGTAAGCCATTGGCATTATTTTGGCTTTATAGTATTTCTCCCAGCTGCGACTTGAATCAAACTGTTTTCATCTCCTTGTTTACAGGGAATCAGCCGTATCTCGGAGAGCTTTCGTTCTGCCAGCACCCGTTATCGGGCTGCTCACTAGCAAAAGGGACACCAGCCAAAAAAAAGGCATCTCTCAACCTCGTGGTGACAGCTGAGAGGGGCTCTCTGTTAGAGAGACTCTGCTCACAAGCAGACATCAGTGTGGCCAGACAAGGATTTAATCTGTTTCCCGTCTCCCATTCATTCGTGTTATGTTTCTTTCCCTTATTGCACAAACTGCAGCTCAGGGTCAAGCCTTTGACAGAGGAGTATCTGTGAGATCCCCAGCCTAGCAGCTTCAGTTGTGTGATGTCCTTGCTGTCTGTTCACTTGCTCTTGGGAAGCTGGCAGCTGTACTTCTTTTGCAGGAGTGTCGTCATCTTGGCTGGGATGGGATGAGCCGCTCTGTTCTTGCCCTCCACCCTAGACTCTTTATTTAGCTTGGGTGCTGAGTTGCTCTGGAGCAGTCTTGGCTGGAGACTTTCCCTCAGCAGATCTATTCTTGAACTCTCTCCACTTGTGTAGTGAAGGCTTCAGCTTCTGCGTGCCATAGGATATTGCCTTTGCTTTGTCACGCTACGAAGTGAACGGGCAACTTTCCAGCAGTCTGGCTGAAGCTCCTAGTGTACTTATAAAAATCACATGCCATTTATCTGTCTGAAGGAAGGGATAAAGTCTCTAGCTTGGTGTTTCAATGGCAACCTAATCTCTGTATGTCTGCTGCCTGGATGGCTGCACTCAGCTCCCGGTAAACCCAGGCATCTGAATTGTAACCCTTCTGAGCAATCATTTTGCTGCAGCAGCTGCAGGCTAATGCACAATCCTATCATGCTTAGGACACTACGTTCCTCGAGGCTTAGAGAAGGGTGGTCTCATAGGCCAGGCAAGGATTTGAGACCTGCATTCAGTTGCTGGAGCTTTTGTGACTTCCTGTGCCTTTGGTCAAGTGATGCCACCTCACCTATAAGATGAGAACAGTAATTCTTTTGTCTTACTGTGTTTTATGATTTTGAGAATAGGACAACTTCTTGCTATACCCTAACTGGCCAAAATAAGCCTAATTTTGTTTAGAGTATTTGTGTATGACTGTTGTGGTCAGTAAAACAGTATCTCAGGATGTAAATGAATGTGATGAACAGCCTGGCAGATCATACACTGTTACAGTCTTCAGAAGACAAGCATT